CTTAGTGACAGCGGGAACTGCGAGCGTTGGTACCTTTGCTATAGGCGCAGCCGCGTAGCTCACCGTCTGTATAGGCTTGGACACGTATTGATGTGAAACAGCGCCACCGCTTGCATATTTCACTGATTGAGATCCCGAATGAATAGATGACAGACCGGAGCCTGATGTGTACTGCGTGAGCACAGGCGCTGCAATTGGTGCCACGGCAGCGACCTTAGTTATAGCAGGCGCTGAATAAGTCAACGTTTGTATAGGCTTGGAAATCTGCTGATGCGACACAGCGCCCGAGGCACCATAGGCCCCGTAATTGCTGACAATTTTAGACAAGCCGTGACCAGACGAGTATTGCGTGAGTGCAGGCGCAGCGACTGCGGGTATGGCCAAGGGCGCTATCTTAGCCACCGGCGCTGCGGCGTAACTAACCGTTTGCAAAGGTTTCGAAACATACTGATGCGAAACTGCGCCACCACCTGAGTATTTAACAGACTCCGCGCCGGTATGAATAGCTGTCAAAGCTGGTTTTAAAACGGGTGTAATAGCAGCTACTTTGGATACCGTAGGTGCAGAATAAGTTATGGTCTGTATGGGTTTGGAAACGTGTTGATGTGAAATGGCGCCACCGGCGTAGCCGTGCCCTGAAGTAGCGTACCCACCAAGCTGCGAAAGTCCGAGTCCGGAAGAATACTGAGTAATTGCGGGTGAAGCATAAGCTTCCACTTTACTTACGGCCGGTATGACGGCAGCTGGTATTTTAGCCACCGGCGCTGCGGCATAGCTTACCGGTTGCAAAGGCTTCGAAACGTATTGATGTGAAACTGCACCAGCGCTTGAATACTTTATAGATTCCGATCCTGAATGGGTGGAAGATAGACCGACGCCTGAAGAGTATTGTGTAATAGCTGGCGCTACTAGTGGCGCAACAGCGGCGACCTTAGTTATCGCAGGCGCCGAGTAAGTCTGCACAAGCGGTTGTATGGGTGTCGAAATTTGTTGATGTGAAACTGCGCTACTGGATAATCCATGGCCCGAAGAATATTGTGCCACAGCAGGCGCAGCGTAAGTGGCTACCTTAGATACGGCGGGTAGAGCAATAACTGGCAGCTTCGCTACCGGTGCAGCTGCATAGCTGATCGGTTGCAGTGGTTTTGAAACGTACTGATGCGACACTGCGCCACCACTTGCGTACTTCAGCGACTGACCACCGCCGACGGCGTGGAGCGACGATAGAGCGGATGGTCTGGTCGAGTAGTGTGTAAGCGCTGGTGCTACGAGTGGTGTTGCTATCGGAGCGACTTTAACCGCACTTGGACTGGCATAACTGACTGCTTGTATTGGCTTTGAAACATACTGATGAGAAACTGCGCCACTGGCACCATAATTTTCGCTACTACTGCTCGAATGCACTGCCACAGGGGCGGAGGGGTATTGCGTTATCGCTGGCGCAAGTGCTGGCCCGGCAACTGCTGGAAGGTACGTTGCTGCGGTTAGTGGCTTTGAAATTTGCTGCTGAGAATACGCACCACCTGTGGCATACTTTGAGTAATCGGCGCCAGCAAGAATATTTTTAACAGCTGGTGCTATGTAGGCGGGAGCTGGCGCGGCATATGACTCCACTTTGGCGACTGAAGGGGCGACGAGGGTTGGAATCTTTTGTATAGCCGGTGCGGCATAGCTAATTTGTTGTAACGGCCTTGAAACATGCTGATGTGAGACCGCGCCACTGCCGCTACTAGAAAGATAGGTGCTGCTTAGTTGCGGCGCATACGAGTAAGAGCCGAGTGGTTCAGCTGTTTTTGCCGTCAATAAATTTCCATCTAATTTAGTCAGCGATGTGGCTGCTAGCGAATTTATCAACTTAGGATTGTAGGGCGCGCCATAGGGTATGGCGGCGGGCCCATATGGTGAGACATATGGGGAAGTTTTAGAGATCGTTGGACTGGATTGATAGTATGCGTAAGCAGATGATTCATATTCGGCGCTTTTCGAAATAGCAGGCGATGGCAGGCTGGATAGGCTGGTGTACGTCTTGCCTAAGCCAGGCGATGTCAAGGAGGCTGTTACTGCCGGCAGATATTGTCTGGAAATGGCGGGCGTAAGCAAATTTTTCAATTCCGGTGTTTTGAGTGGCTGATCGGCGTATGTGATGCCACCACCTTTTGTTGCTAGATTTGTTGACAATTGCAGTAGTTTTTCACTATGTGCGGCCTGCGATAATCCGACTCCGCTTTCATAATATGATTCTGAAGATTTCTCTGTATCGACATTGAGATATCCACTGCCCGTGTGGCCTGACAATTGCAGCGGTATTTTATATTTAGCTCTGGCGGGCGCCACTGACAGCTGCACTTTTGGCGGAGGGTAGGCATAGCCACCTGACGCAGCGAGCACGCAATCTGGGATGACAATTGGTTCTGAACTAGCCCACACTGTGCTACAAAAGCACAATAATGCTAATGGAATCTGAAAGTGGAAATATTGATTTCGGTTAAGTTTTTTATATGGATGCTGTGAGTATACTTGTACTTATGAAATTTATTTATTTTATAAGACATGCAGTTTTTCGATTTCCAACTGGTGTTATCCTGTATTAAATCAGTAATAATGCTCTAACTTGTAATACCTCTATTACTTTTTGAAGAAGTATGTGTTTGTACCAGGGACCGTAACAGTTACAACTTTTATTAAAAAAATCGCTCTTTAACAATTATTTTTTGACTTATATTTAATTACTCCATAAATAACCTTTGTTTCCGACTTTTATTGTATAAATCAAAAATAACAATTATTTTTGATTTTTATCTAAATAATCTGCAAATAACAGTTATTTTTGAGTTTTAAATTATATGTCTTAGATAACAGTTATCGAAGACTTTTATTTATAAAAGTCATAAATGAAATCAGTCACTGATCTTTATTTTTTAAATCATACTTATAAAAGTAATTTTTATAAGTCCTAGTAAACGTTTGTTTCCCAACACCTTAACTGCGAAAAATGTTAATGACTTTCATACGAATGATTTAAAAAATAAAAGTCGGTGACTGATTTATATTGATGATTTTTAGAAGCAAAAGTCACTGACTGATTCTTTTTGATGACTTTTATAAATAAAGGTCCTCAATAACTGTTATGTAAGACATATAATATAAAAATCAAAATAAATTCTTATTTTTTTAATTTTGCATAAAAAATGCAAATAAAAATTTATTTTCAAATTTGAGTCACGCTGAAAAAAGAAATCGATTGGTATGTATCACTTGGTTGCAGAACATTTCCTTCATAGTGAATTTTTCCATGACAGTTTTCATCAATAACTGTTATGTTCGGTCCCTGGTTTGTACACGAAAGAAATTTGTGAAAAATATTCCAAAAACGAAAAATTTCGTGTCAGCTTCAAGCTGTCAGGCATCAGTTATATACATCTGTATATTCATATTTGATTTTCTGGTCTCGTTTTAAGGGTGATATTTGTGGCTAAATAAAAAGTTTCGAAAAAGAAAAAAAATTACAGAATTTTGAAATGTAAAAAATCGAAAAAGCTTAAACGTATTTAAGTTTTAGGCAAACATTTTTTTATACAATACCTCTAACTAAGCTTGAGAGATCCAGAGGTTTCCAAAGGATTTTTAATGGTATGAATACTTGAACATTGAAAAAATTTTTTTTCGCAAGCTCTAAATAAATTAAACAATTTTGTTTCGTAGTTCAAAATTTGATATTGAAAATTTCAGGATCTTTTCAGATCAGTTATGTTTAAAATTTTTTGCTGATGATTTTGTTTTATTTCAAAAATCTGAAAATGTTTTTATTTTTTATTTATTTTTTGTTCTTTATACAATACAAATGTGAAAAGCATCGGGAAGAGCGGGTCCGAATCCTCAAAAATGAGTGTCGGAATTAATGGGATCGGGTTTGAGTATTTTAGTCCCATGCCCCTATAGAATGATACATATGTATATATAAAATCTAATGAATTGGTTTTATGAAAAACACAGAATATTAAAAAAAAAACTGTGGACGGGAACGTATACTAATTTTCAACCGGAGGTTAGACAAAAAAAAAAAATAAAAAGTAAAAGAGTTTTGAAGACAGTTTTTAGCATGCCAGAAAAAAAGTTCACCGTACATCTGTGAATCTAAAATAATTTTTTTTGGGCCGAACGTAGGGTTGCGTCTTAACATTTACTTCGTATTTGCTGTCTGTCTGTCCGTCCGTCCGTTTGATACACAATAACTCGAGCAAAAATTGAAATATCTCAACGAAACTTCCTTTATCCACGCCCCCTTCTCATATAACGGTATTTTCGAAAAATGCAAGAACTGCGCCATTTCAGTAAATATTGGATCCATATTGTAGGAAATTAGTACGTGAGGAAGAATTTTATTTTTACTTTTTGAAAATGGACCTGACTTATGATGAAATGCTGTATCTCAGTAGCCGCTTCACCAATCCTTACCAAACTCGATACGAGCCTTGCCTAGGGTATAGCTAAGAAATTTGTTGAAAATCTTTGAAATCGGGTAATAGGTAACCACGCCCATCTACCATATAACAATAATTTACATAAACCCGAAATTCTATCAAAGTCGACGCACTTAATAAACTTGGTATGGAAAATCTATTCGTTTAAAATTATTTAAATCAGATTAAAATGACAACGCTTCCGAATAACGGTAAATTTCAGAAATACGAAAAGTCCGATATCTGAATAACTGAGGAAGTTAATTTACTCCAAGTGACATAGTTACAACAATCTCTTAACAATAAATAAGACCGCTACATACTTCTGGGAATTGGGCGTGGCGTCTAACTCAGCATAATATAGAAAATGTTTGAAAGCGGGAAAAACACCCCTGCTTATTATGCAAAGGTATGTAGTTTAGAGAAAATGTAAACGATAATATTTGATAACTGTGTCGGGTATATATAGTTCGGTTTCGCCAACACTTATATTTCTTTACTTGTTTGTTTTATTTTCACTTTCAAATGTCCTTTTATCTTCCTTATTTTAATTTTAATTTTTATTTTTTTTTAATTTTTATTTTTATTTGAATTAAAAATTTTATTTATTTTTATTTTTTTATTATTTTTGTAAGTTAAAAGGTCCTTTCGTGTACTGTATACTTGGTTTATTTTTTTTATTTTTTAAATTTAACCCAAGAAATAGCATAACACAATTTTAGTTACACTTTTCGAAAACCCACTATACAAAATGATCTCATACAATTTTCTAGATTGTGCTTATATTTTCTTCCTTCAATTATAAAAGAGTATAATTTTTTCATCACGTCATTTCATATGTATGTATACAAACTTGTGTGTATTCAGCCACCTCCATTTAAGGTTATGTCCAGTATAAACAATAGAATATTTTCACTGCTCTATATTGTTCTTAGCATCACACACACACACACATACCTACACACCAAATGATTACTACAAGTATGCTTGTCGTTTCACTCACCTTCATGCTCTTGTTTCGTTTTTGTTGTTTTTGTTTTTTGATATAATAAACTTAATTAAAAACACTGTTAATTAATAAAATATTCTTTCGAAGTCTTCGATTTAACTACATGTTAAGGTCCTTATCACATTGGACATTTACTGGCACTTTTTGTTATGTAATTTTTATCCTTTACACACACACATATCCAAGGTTGTTGTTTTTAGTTGCTGTTTGCTGGCTGTTCGATAGAGGGCGGGCGCGCGTGCGTGCGTATCCTTTTGCAATGGGCGTTAACGATTTGAAGTGTGCTCCAACGAACTGGAGCGTCGCGAAACACTACCAGCCAACAAGGCCCTATTGTCGTTTATATACGGTCAATGTGGTCCCCAAACGATCACAGACAGCATCAGCTGCAGCAACGATAGTGACAGTGGCAGCGTTAGAAGTCGCAGCAGCGGCAACGGCACGACGACGACGCTGATGGCTACGACAGTGGCAACAAAAATAGGCGATTTATCCAAAAAGGCTGTGTGTGACAAGCAGTGCGAGATTGTAATTGCATGCATGGTGTAAACGTATGTATGTATGCACACAATGGCATGAATTAAAATTATGAATTCGCAAAAAGGCGAAGCATGCGCCAAAACGTTTCTTTGCTGCACTACAACAACTACAACAATTGTTGCCTCTAACGACTATTGGTTGGTTGCGTCGGCGCAGTGCACTTTACCAGCTTTTAGTTTGTTTATTGGCGTTGTCGCTTGCTATAGTTTGACTTGTGTTCTCTATTAAGTAGAAAAAAGCTTTGTAAAAAAAAAAATAAAACGAGTGCACGATTTTTCGGCAACCGAACATGCGTAGCTGCTGCGCCGATACGGGTGCGTTTAGTTGCGTAGTTTTTTGGCGTCGTCGTCGTAGTTGTTGTTGTTGTTGTTGTTTGTGGTGGCATGTTGAAGTTTTGGCGTTTGAGCGCTTATGCCCCACCTTCGCGAGCACTGACGCACTGATGCAAAATACATAAATATTTGTATGCATATATACTATACATATGTATGTACATATGTGTGTATGAATATTCGCGAATATGCATAAATCGGATTCATACATATCTACGTATATATGTATATAGTAAATGCACTTACCACAATATATTCTAGGAGCGTTTTCTTGCCTAAAACTAATTAGAAAATTGATAATAACCACATTAACGCATATACATACATATTTTGCATATGTATGAATTACCTGCTGGGAAATCATCAACTCGCAATTAGATGTGGACTTAAAAGATTTTTTTCTTTGTAAAATTGCAAAATTGTAAATGAAATAAAATATGAATTATTAAATTTTTACATTTAAATAACTGATTGATTAATGACTATGCAATGTAGCAAAAAAAAACTAAATTTTTTTTTTGACCCTGCGGATACATTCGATCCAATGGAGCACCAACATACATTTAACTAACTGAGAAAGGGAACTGCCACCAAAGTTCACTATAGTCCCCTTCAACAAAAAGAAAGAAAGTCTATTTGACTAAATATACACTGAGGCGCACGGAAATTGATTTATCGCAAGAGGCGAAGTATCAAGCGATAACTCTGGACAAAAGATTCAACTGGAACTCAAATTTCAAAGCTGTTTTCTGACAGACAAAATCGTCGGCTGGGTGGAAAATCGCGCTATTTCAGAATTTGGTTCAAAAACGCCCTGTCTCAGCTGTCGCTCCAAAAACGCCCTATCTCAATATATTTTAAGTTGAGATACAGCTTCTTGAACCAAATTCTGAGACAGGGCGTTCATTAAACATTTGCTGAAATAGGCCGTTTTCGAACCGGTAGCCGAGAATGGGCGATTGTCGACCCAGCCGTCGAAATGCTCTCAAAATTTTCCTCAAATGCGCTACAAGTTTTTTGCAATTTCTCTCGCGTTTTTTGCAATTTCTCACGCGCCGCTGCACAGTGGTTTAAAATTGGCATTTTATGTTCATAATTCACTGGAGTCTTAATTTTTCACTCTATTTGATAATTTTTTTATGAAAGCTAATAGAATTCGCAAGAGACCAGTTTAGCCCGACTTTTTGAACTTTTGTTTATTTTTATTAAATTTTTTTAGTGCAAAATGCAGAAAAAGTAGCAAAACTAGTTGAAAACAATTGTAGGGTTCTCTGAAAACGAAAAAAAAGTTCACAGGAAAAATTTCAAATGTTATAAAAAAATGTTCACCAAAATTAAAAAAAATTTGGACTTTCTACATAGAAAAATATTGTGTTTCATAGATCATTAAATTTTAGTACAAAGTGCAATTTGCAAGTGGCTAAGAGATGGCGTCGATTTTTTATAATCTTTTTCGCTAACATTTTGAGCATATCTGCGTGCTAAATGGGGAATAAAAGCGTTTGTTATATGTATTATTAAAAATCAACGCGTACTCTTAGCCACTTTATTATAATTAAATTTAATGATCTATAAACTGAATACCAAAAATTTTTTATGGAAACCACAAAAAAAATTATTTTTGGGGAAATTTTTTTTATAACATTTGAATTTTTTTATTGTTTTTCGTTTTGGCAGAACCTCACAATTATTTTCAATTAGTGTTTACTATGTAACATTTATTAACTGGAACAGAGAATCGATTTTCTTCAAATTTGCTACAAATCATGCAAGCCAACTGCACCTATCTCTCCGAATTACTCGAAATTTTTGTACATTATTCTACTCGAAAAATAAGCGCACACGTATTTTTTTATTTGCCGATATCATCAAAATCTCATGTTTTAAATTTAAAATTAAAATTAAAATTAAGGTTAAGATTAAAATTAAAATTAAAATTAAAATTAAAATTAAAAGTAATATTAAAGTTAAAATTACGGTTAAGATTAAGAATAAGATTACGACTAAGAACAAGATTAAGATTATTACTAAGATTAAGACTCGAATTAAAATTAAGGTTAAGATTTAGATTTACATTTGGATATAGATTAGTATTGGAGATAAGATTGTGACTTATAGGAAGAAGAAGTTTCTCTTCAGTCGCGCGTGGGCTCCATTTTGGAAGTTGTTATTCTGTGGCCTAGGATTAGGAATCAGTGTAAAGATTTATTCCTAACTAGTACTGTGAATTTGGTCTGTGGGTAGGTAGTGGTCTTCCGCTACCATCATGTACTCGAGGCCCGTACTCATTAAAAGTATCCAACAGAATACTCGATGCTACTCAAAGTATCGCTCCTTGTGTCCAAAAGTGCTCAGACCCAAAATTAGAGTTCAATCATCGTTTACAGGAAATTATAGTTCCTGCCTTAGAAAACAGTCGTTAACAAGTAACCGAATAAACTTCATTCAAGCTTAGAAATAGCTGTAAAATGAACCCAACTTTTGAGATTGGCTTATATAAAAGTGCTAATACAGGAGACGAAGTAAATGCAAAAAATTATAAGTACTTGGTAGAGGTACTCGAGTATGTACATACATATGTGTGCTTTTAAGTACTGCTATCGGAACATCACTAGGGGTGGGCAGTGTCGTAATTTTGTCGGGCTGTGTAATTCAAACGCACGAAATTCATCCACTTACCTTTTAGTATGCAACATTTTTTATTGGTATTTTACAATAATTAATCTGTGGTCTTAATCCCCTTATCCAGCTGATAATTAAATTTAAAAAAATTCAAATAAAAATGCATACATGTACCCCATACATCCATATTTACAAACTTACCACAAAATTCGATTATGTACATGCATATCATCTGGCTTACCATTCTTTGGTAATCGAAAAATTGCAGTGCTTGCTCATAGAGATTTAAGTGCAAATGACTGCGTAACTTCACTCATATACAACGAGTGCACATGTATGTATGTAGGTACTTTGCCGGTGTTATCTTTGTGGGATAGCAAAATTTATGTATGCAAGTTTAAATATCGTTACAAACATATGTATGAACTTATGATCTCATAGTTTCACTTTATTGGCATTCGATGGCCACATTTTCACGTTTAATTGTGTGCGTGTGCAAATGTGTGTGTGCGATTTTATGTTACGAATTTACTCCTATAAATTTCAATAAAAGAAACATTAAACAAGTCCGAAATTTCGTCATGCAAATCGATATGAATATATAATTTGGCGTTGGTCTGCTTTTCTATGCAACTTTGGACGTAGGAATGCCTATATGTACGAGTAGCTATGTATGATTGCATGTTGCATATGCCGAGAGTGTTATAGATAGTAGTGTTGTTGTAAAGTACGACAGGCTGTTTCATAGTCTTACATAATTAAAGAGATGCAGTTTTTCTCCTATGGCGCATTGCAGTTCGCATCAAAGTTGCAGGAGGCTAAAGGCGCAGTCGCCACGCTGAAGCTGGGGCGCGCATGCGTGCGTGTGTCAAAACTACGAGTACGTAAATAAAACCACGCCAAGGCATGTTAGACTGCAACTGCGACTGCGTGCTAGAGTCAGCACTAAGCCAAATGGCATGTAAATCGAATTGAGTCGAAATGAACTGAACTGAACTGAACTGAACTAAACTTGTTCAAAAGTAGGTTACGCTTACTTTAGTTTATTTCGATTGGAATACAGAAATTAAAATTCAATCAAATTGCAAAACAACGCGTTGCAGGACACTGAACTGCTCTACTAAGCCACTGTACGCATGTACGTATGTACATACATATGTGCATACTTTTGTTTGTAAGCAAGTACGCACAAATGTTTGACAGGGAAAAATGTACGACAAATCTTGTGTATCTGCATGGCCGAATAGTTTAAGCTGCGCTAGGTGTCACCTAAGCCTAGATAGATATGTATGTAAAAATATCTAGATTGTTCATAGTATGTGTTCATTACGTCGTTCGTACTATATGCGTCTCAAATCTGAAGGAGCAGATCACTCTGGTCGATCGGGGCGACGCGACGTTGAATTATCAAACGTGTTTAGGTATATTCAATTAACGTCTAAAATGAATAAGCAAATGAAATCGATATTCAATTCGTATTCGAGCGAAAAACGAATTTTTCTTTAGACAATATCTTAATATGTGTATCAGCATTGAATTGCACAGCATTTCTGCGCATTACCAGATCTCTGTTCTTCAGCAAATATCTACCAACAGCTACGCATGCTTGTTTAACTGTTAGATTCTACAAAGCCGCAGATACACACATTTGCATGTGAATTTAGAGCAACTTGCTGAGTTGACCACGACATGCGGTGGATTCCATTTTGGCTTGCCTTTCACTTATTCTTGGCCATAAGTTATACTCATTTATTTTCATGTAGGCATTTGGACTTATTTTTTCGACAATTGTGACATAATCGCCTTAATGGATTTGATTGGCTTTAAAAATGGACACATATCATAATTGAAATCCTTCATAGCCTTCACCAGCAAATTCTATAAAGAGATATTTACGTAGAATCTGGTTGTGTGGAAGATTTGAGATCCAATACATAAAAAAAAAGTGCCAAGGAAAATAAAATTTGGCTTCGGATGAATACCGATGATATGCTGAAATTTCCATATCTGAATGGGCTAGGTTCATTTGTACGGCTGGTTGAAGTCCTCAGGAAGATAAAGGCTGACACCACCGCCTTCTTAGCAGATAAAACGACTGCTAGAGGGATCGAATCACTCGCCTTAATTCGCATCTAACTGAGGTACCTCAACATCTTGCTCATTTGTGCCCACGCCCTAACCCGTCCACGTTAGAGAAGCACCAGGCGTCCGTATCCGCAATGGCAAGGAAACTTAAAACGCTAGGTTCAACAGGGAACTTGCCTCTCTTCAGATCAAAAGAAAAATCCACATACCTACCATTCGAGACAAGGTACGCACCCGCCTCACTACAACAGAACATTTGCACCTGGAAATGCCATGAAGGGTCAACGTCGAAGAGCTGCAAATCACAACAGACATCCAGAATTCTTCAATAGGGAGATATATGCGA